ATTTTTGTTCAGACAATTGCGTAATTTGATAATACACGAACTCGCTTGATTTTCAAAGCTCATAAATCGCTATAATGTTGACATCGACTAAAACTATCGCTATGAATGAGGACATATTGTTACACTGAATCGAACGTGGTATTTTTGTCTTCATAGCATTGAATGAACCGAAGATATGAAACGTCAAAGCCGTATATTTGCACTGGTGTAAATACATGAGTTTGGCAAATAATTAAAATAAATATATTACTGTAAGATGGGCGGGACCATGCGGTGGGCGGAACTCAGAATGTGTAGTTTTCGGGCAGGCGGTATTTCTAGCTTCTACCGCCTGCTACGCAGGCTACATTTTTAGTGGATCAGCAATAGTGGATCTCCAATTTTCTTCGATAGCCACAAAATAGAATATTAATGAGCTGCCTAATATCAAAATGGCGGCCATTCGTGGAGTGGGCAAAATATTTCGAACAATTTCGTTAAAATTTTCAATGAATTGTACCTGTTTTTTATGGATTTTGCATTGTGTCTAACTCTAGACATTCTTGCTAGTTTAGTTAATGCATTTTTCTTGGTGCACGGCTCTGAAAATCCGAAATTTGGATCGTCGAATTCCCATGCACGATCATAATATTCATATAATATACTGAATCTGGATATAAACGAGCCAAAGGCAAAGACAATTTCAAGGTAAAAGGTTACAACTTACAGTAAACTACACAACGTAGTTTTAATAGATAACTACTTTATGAGAAGCATATTAGTGTCATATCAATATAAAATTTATCCAACAACAGTCTCTATTAAGTAGTTATTAGTTCATAGCTGTGGAAACGTGAAAACTGTAATGTGAAATATAATGTATTCGTAATGCCTAATGGCGCAATAAGGATAAAAATACCAACGTTCGATTCAGCGTAAGAAATTGTACTTACGGATGTCAAATGTATTACTAAACAACAGTATTCTAGCGATTTATGGCCATTCAAAATCAAGCGAAATTGTATTGTTTACAAATCGCTCGCAGTACGTTTTCATGTTGACACTCACTCGCAGTACGTTTGTCCTTGACCTTGTACTAAGTTGTATTAATGCCTAATGGCGCAATAAAGATAAAAAAATACCACCGTTCGATTCAGCGTAACTGAGAAATTGTACTTACGGGTGTCAAATGTATCACTAAACAACAGTATTCTAGCGATTTATGGCCTTTATCTTTAAAATCCAAGCGAAATTGTATTGCGAACGAATCGCTCAAAACTATTCAACTAATTATAAAAATGCAGTACGTTTGATCCTTGATAACTTTGGTATCGTTGGTTTTCTCTTTTTCGGCCGTATACCAGTGGATTTGTCTCACTTCTCTCTTCATTTTGATAGTATTTGGAGCCCAAAAGCCTCAAAATATTTTATTTTGAACGTAATTTTATTTTGAACGCGCAGTTTAATCCTAGCCGGTGGAAACGCCGGAAGTTTTATTTGTATGTCTGATTGTATAAAATCCTGAACTGGGTCATTATATTAACAGAAACTCAGTCAAAACTGAGCCTCCTACCTGAAATACAAACCTAGCCAATTTGAGAGCGGCAGCACTCTCCCTTTGACAAGCAAAATCGACTGGTATGAGACATTAAACTAATAAAGTAGGGTGCATGATTGCATTGGGGCACAATGCAAGTCAGTGGGATATAAATAACAATATTATAACATGGTATTCACCTAAATAGACAGAGCAGTGTTATATGTTGATATAGTTCAAAACAGAGTGAACAAAACTGTAACTGAAAAGTTTAATCTTCAACCCTTTCGCGCTCGTATTCGACTTTTCCGCTTAGCTCGGGACAACCAAGCATAGATATCTATGCAACCAAGGGACAACCTTAAATCTTAATTAAAACAGCTGTATACTGCATGCATGCATGTATCATATACGGTAATGTGCGTGTTTGTATCATAGATATCTCTTGTATAGCCCCAGCGAGTTAACGCTCTATAGAGCGTCTTGTTTTGTATTACAAACGGGAAATTGATACCCCAACATCCGATTGGGCTGTCAATTTCCTATGCGCAATACAAAATGACTGAAAAACGCATGTGATGCTCTTTCAAGCTGTGATGAAATTTTTGTCTAGATCAAAATTTTAGTTATAAGGTTAAAGGTCCATTGGTGATTGAAATTTTCAATGATTTGCGGGATAATTTTAGATGTTGAGATATTGAGAGATGCAGTTCCGTCAACATTTCCATCAAAGAAGAATGGTCCAAGGACTGACCGCAAATGCCCATCCAGACTGTTACTTTCGCCCTTGCATCGCGTCTGTAATAATGAAAGTCTGGTGGTTCCCCTCTGGGAGCGTACTGGTGGACACCATTCATACAAAATCCGGCCTCGTCCTCAACAACGAAATTTGCTAAGAATCGAGGGTTCGTAGCTGTTGGTTGAACCTTCGGCAGAATTGAAGTCGCCTAGGATAATCATTGTCTTTCAACTCGTGTCGAACGTTTATTTGATAAGGATGCCATATTAAGTCCAGACGCGTGCATGATTCGGTTAAATGTTGTCGACGGAAGACCGAGTCCGTTTCTTCTTCAACTCACATGTGGGTTGTTTTCAAGCTGTTGAGCGACTGCTTCAATATTTTCTTCGGATCTTCCAGTTTTTATTCTTCCCGAATTTCTTTTGTTTCGATTAAGACTCTTGCCGTGCTGCCGGTATTTACGTACGTTACGCCAAACGGTCGTGGAATTTGGGAAGTGTCGATCCGGGAAAGCTATTCGAAACAATCTTAAAACTTCCTGAATACTTTTTGTTAGAAAGTAATTTTCAACAATAAAGGTTCTTTCTGCTGTAGTGAGCTGTGGCATGATGCTTAAGACTTTAAAATTATTTAGCGAAATATTCGCATGCAACGATAACGTACCCTTGCGAATTAAGAACGTCGAATTCGAAGCATCTAAAAATGACTGCTCGCAGTAAATCACTTATTTTGAAGTTCTAAATGGCCTAAAATTCACAATCGACCACTTATTGAGTAGAAAAAAGATAAGGCTAAAACATGAACTAAAAGTTAAGACATGGAAATCCATATTATTTTTGTTATAAAGTCTTAAACTTGGATTGCGTTTTTTTATACACTCTGTATATATCATGCATCAATAATATGATGCGCTAATTATAAGGAAATCGCTTACTCTATCCAGCAAAACTAGATAACTTAGCTTTTGCTAATTTGTTTAACAATTACTTGCTGAAGCCGAGACGAAGTCGAGGTGAATACGCCCGGATAATCACCGAACCTGATGCGAATAATTGTTTTAGTATTTTTACACAAGTCTTTTGTGGGTTTTTTTGGGAATGAATTTATTTTAATTTCGCTTATTTCTTTATCAGTAATTTCCACAAAACGGCTAGCTGCCATTTTGCAAATTTCGGGGTTTTATATTCACTTGTAGGCGAATATAACAAATTAATACGTCAAATTTGACCAATCAACTTGTAGGATTTGTTATATTCAATTGTGCAAAAATACTAAATATCCAATGGTCATCAAAACGTTACCAAAATTTAATCAATCTGTCCAACAGCCATTAGCTCCATAAATTTTTACATCAGTACTTTTGATACTAGATCAGTTACCAAGGTGACAGACGAACAAACACATTTGCAGATACATCAAACGAAGACAAAAAGCGGAGGCAATATATGTTTAGAAATTTGATTCTCACATGCGTAGCATGAAGGCCGGATACAGCCATCTGAGAATAGAGATTATATACATAAGAAATGTCCGTTGTTTGCAGAACCGAGGCTAAACCCTGTCAACCGAAGCTGATTTCCACACATTAAATATTTTGGTCTTTCAAGAACTAAACTTTTAAGTTTTGCACCTTTGAAATACCTTAGTAAAGTGCTCAAGAACCATAGAAATGTAGGATTTTGTGTTTGTATGATCGGGCAGCTTTATCACTCAAAAAAGGATTATGCAAATTCATCATTATGATGGAATTTGAGAAATATCCAAAGTTTTCCCATGCATTCCATATAATTATAAAGTTTCTTTAAGCGAATTTGACTACTTTGAACCACTGCTACATTTTTTTAAAATTTCTTAAGAGAAACGTTGGTAAATAAAGTTTTTCTATCTACAAAGTATAGTTTTCGACTGCGAAAGAAAAGGCAAAAATCATTAGACAAGAGTTAATTGAAAATTTGCAAAACTTTCTGGTCGAAATTAAGCCTTTGTACATTTTGCATAAACGAGTAGGCCTACTTGCATAGTTCGGTTGAACAAACATTTCTGACATACATCGTTCATACAAGGTTGATTTCAATACAGGTATATACATACAGCATTATAGTCAAATATCCTGATACGAATGTATTTGCATATACATGCTTTATATAAAGGAAAGAATGCAAATTCCAAATTGGTTGCGAAGCAAAAAATGAATCATGAACAGTCTAGCTAGGCTCTGAATATGTTTTTCAAGGTCATCAAAGTTACGGACAAACGTCGCCGTATATTATTATCTTAATAAGGTGTAGACAATGAAAACTTAATAAAACAACTTATTTGGTTGCTTTTTCTCTTATTAAATAGCCTATATTGAGTGAGTTCAATCCTGTCAGTAATATAAAAAATTCAAAAGTTACTTTTTGTCTGCGCATTTCGGAGCAATTATCATATTAAAACACCCGAAATTTCGGGGTGTCACATGACCAGTAGAGGCCAGCGTCTTTTTTGCGGAACACCCAAACAGGCAAACAAAAAGCGCTATAGGTACCAGGTTGATCTGGAGACTGAAGCACAAATCTATTTTCTGCAGCATTCTGCCAGTATTGCCAATTTCTCAAGCATTATCACCGAATTTTCAGGCATATTTTAAATTTAACAAAAATTGCACTGTCATTGATAAAATAAAATTCAATTCCACAAAACTATTTCTGGAATAGAGAATGGAAAGAGAAAAAATACAGCCAGTACCTTTTTAAAAATAATATTTACCTTCGATTTGGCACTGGTCACCGGTAAATCTAACTGGGCATGAGCAAGAGAATGATGTTCCATTACTGGAACAATTCCCACCATTCAAGCATGGAGCATTGGGACAACCTAAATTATATCAAAATTTAAAATTTTGTTAAAATTCATGTAAAAAAAAAGGGACTCGAAGAGTTATAGGTAGGAACTACACAGGCGTTGCAAAGATTAAAACTGTTAATATTATAATCTTGGCATCATACGCAAAATAGAGCGTGAAGCAAGGGGTGAGGGATGTGGATGGAACATCACACGTAAACCGATTGCTATTGAACTATAATACTCTAATATATTCTTCAAAACCATAACAACAGCAGTGTGGATTATAATACCAAAATTATTGGTGAACACTCGTGATAATGATATAAACAACATATAAAACGTCCAGAATTCCTAGAAATTGGACGGAAACCTACATAAGGCCCATTTTACCTCTCTCATGTTAGTTGAAAGAAAACATCGGCTAGTGAAGAAATTGGGTTAGGAAAATCTTAACTCTCGGATATAACTCTTCTTGTAATAACTCTCATTTCAGCCGTTTCCATGTTATTTATGTTGTGAAGGATTTAAATTTATGATTTATTGATATAACAGTTGGTCTTCCTTGGCTGCTATTAACTTCTTATTAACCGAACGCGAGGTCTGTACAGAGAAATATCGGACCGAGGTCTTTTTTTGTACAGACCGAGCCAGTAGGGCGAGGTTTGTAAAAAAAGACCGAGGTCCGATATTTCTCTGTACATACCGATATTTATAGGCATTTATACTTGAAACAAACAAGAAATGCATGATTTGAAATGCATATTAGTAGCGTGGTACACATTTGGTCGAAGAGAACAAAAAATACCAATGTATTCCTTCTTTACCACTAAAAATCATTCGCAGATATCTTATTAATAACAAACGAAATTATAATTTTCAAATTTTCAATTAATTTTGCTGTTTTGTTTTAAAATGCAAGCCGGTTTGTTTTTACGTAATGAACCGCCGGTCCATTACGGGAAAATAATGGAGCGCTGAAAGTGCTTCTCAGCCAATCACAGTGCGCAATTTCACCGGAAGTGATGCTTGCCATATAATAAAACAGTTTAATAGCGTTAAAAGAATGTGGGCTTTATATTTCTATCTATGTATGTTATTTGTACTGTGTGACTTACCCTCTCTCTGGACTTGTAAACTTGAAATATTGAATATCGCCGATCCATTATCTCGTGCTTCAGCGATTGGTGATTGAACTTCCTCAGCAGTCGGAATTGGTTCGCTCGAATTGTATAATATGTCAATATCTGCAACAATACTTCCATTGGAAAATGAGTTGATGATAATGCCAATAAAACCAATTTGATTTTGGTATACTGGAAGCAAGAAATCGAGGAATCTATTTCTCAAATTTCTGAAAGCCTGACTTTGCTTGTTCTGCAGTTCGGACACGAATATTTCCTCAATTCGAATAACAACTTCAAATGGGACAGCTTCTTCAATTGGAACTGTCGCCGGATTTCCCGATGGGTTAAATATTGGTATCTCTGTGCCAGCATCTGGTGCAAAAAATTATCAAACATGTTATAGTGGTATATTTCCCAAGTACATACCTATACCCCTGGTCAAAATATTACATGCATGAAACGTTAAGGTACGACACGGATACGCACCCGTTTGACCTGGTGTATTCTCGAGTATTATCCCAACATTCCCTGACTGATTATCGCGCTATAAACGCATGAGACGAGTTTTTATAAAATATATTCCTTTTATAATATAAAAGGAAAATATTACTCAGTTAAGGCCCTGTCACATTATTGCGTATGAGAGAAACGTCTGAATGAAAATTAATGAAATAATTTTCATACGCACAAAAATCCTTTGAAATGCGAGCGTATGAGTACCGTACATCTGGCGTAGCTCTAGCGTATTCGGCGTGTGCCTAGAGTATGCTTATCGTATAAAGGATACGTCCGAATACGCACAAAATTTTTGAACATGCTTAAAAAAATTTTCTGTGTCTCCGTATGCCAGCGAATGCCACCGTGTGCAACCGTGCTTGAAACGTATACAACCTATGCCTAACGTACCTCTAGCGTATGTCAGCGTATACCGGCGTATGAGTGATATTTTTCATACGCTGGCATACGCTAGTACGATACGCAATAGTGCAGTGACAGGGCCCTAAGCAATTTTATTTGAAAGATGCATATCCCTGCATGTTTATACTCATCACACATAGGCAACAAGCTTGAATTTTCAGGCGGGCAATGGAAAAAACTAATAAATTAATAAATCTTTTAAATTAATCTTAATAAACTGGATGGAAAATGTTCGAAAATGACAAAAATAACCCACCCTGATAAGGAGACGAATTTGCTTTTGTTTTGCTGCGTTTTACAAGCTGGATTTGGAGTCCGAAGTTTTCCTTGAGTTGCTTTGTTTCCACTTGCTGAAATTATGATTATATTTTTCGTGCTTCGCTAAAGATATGTCATTTAGCTAAGGTACATTCTTAATTTAATTCGTCTACTGTTTAGGTAGCTTTTTCTTTTTTTTTATTCCCGCATTTTTTGAAGTTTTTCTCGGCTTGTTTAATTCAGTCTCAAAAACAGCTGTGAAAATTGATTTGCCTTTCCCGTCCCGCTACCTCTGGCTGGCTGCTTTTGCACTTTATTTTTGGTCAACTAGTGTCTAATAAATTTGGATTTAAACATCATTCTATAATTCTGTTCACATTGTTTTTGCCAAGAAACCGGAGACAGAACGTTAAGGTGATATAATGCACGCACATTAGCCAATTACGTGTCCCACTCCTGATGTTTTGAAGGTATTATAATAATCCTGAAAGCATTATTTTATTCCATCTCGAGCTTTGGGGTCTTCGCGAAATGCAACGCGCGCCTGAGTGCGGTTCATTATTATATTCAAGATATTTATTCTCAAGGCCCCGTTCGACTAAAAACTGTTGAAATATATTGCGATTTTTGCTGTGCAGACCTCGTTTTCGCAAAGGCATGTTTTAATAACTTTTTTTGTTCAGTTTGGAATTCTGCAAGTAATGATATTACGAAACTAAAGGTTATTTTCAGACTGTCACATGACCAGCTGAAGGCAGGGCCTTTTTTGCGGACTATCCAAACGAGTACCATATTCAGTATATATTCAAATATATTAAGCAGTGAATGAAGGGCTAATTCATTAGAAATTCATTTTTGCTTGTTGCGGCCACCTTCGGGCAAGTCATTTACAGATTGTAAGAAATCGAAATCAGGGTCTTCCCGAAATGCAACAAGCGCCTCCATGCGACTCATTATCGATTAAAAACTGTTGAAATATATTACGATTTTTACTGTGAAAAGAATTTTGGAATAAATTTGTAAAAATATCGCATTTTACTTATGTTAAATTCCCATTGTATTTACGCATGTTTCGAGTAATTGAACATGCATGACCTTAAAAGTGGCAATGAAATATTCAAGTGAGTAAATTATACTTTTTTACAAGGAAACGAAAATAAAATCACATCTGTGAATTCAGAAATGTTTACTCTTTATAGTGATACTTTAAAACATAAATTTACTTCATAAAACCGAAGAGTTATCGCGGTTTGAAAATGAGCTATTTTTGCTAATATATATAATATAGCAAAATTAGCTCATTTTTAAACCGCTCAGATTCATGGAGTAAATTATTCCTCCTTATTTACAGTACATTGGAGAAAATCTTGAATATCTCTCTAAAACTGTTTGAAATTTTACAAGCATTGATATTACAAAAATAGAGGTTATTTTCAGACTGTCACATGACCAGGTCAAGTCAGGGCCTTTTTTGCGGACTATCCAAACGAGCACCAGAATGATCTGGGGACTCAAGCTCAAATCTTCTCCAGCATTATAGAGCGTCTGCACTCATTGCGCAGTGACCAACGCATCAAAAGCCATGGCGGCCATGTTGGTGTTCCAGACGAAAGAGTCTAATTAAATTTCTTTTGAATTGGAACACCAACAGGGCAGCTGTGACGTCATGTGCAAACGCTCTATTAAAACATTATTTTATGGGTCTGTACTGACCTGCGCAATTCGTTCCATCGCCTGTGTAGCCAGTGTTGCAAGTACATACGTATGTTCCTGGTGTATTAGTACATGTTGCTTCAGCGTGACACATGTTTGCTTGTGAACATTCGTTGATGTCTGAAACAGAACAATGATTTCATTAAATTTTCAAAACATAAAGCATGAGAGAAAAAAGAAGAAATTAAGCGGACTTTGTTAACTGAAGATGTCCCGACATCCTTGTAGATTAAGCCGTCTCTGGGAGAATGAAAGGGGGAAAGTGACTTACCACAACATATTCAAATATATTAAGCAGTGAGTGAATTAAGGCCTAAATCATTAGTAATATATATATAGAAATTCATTTTCGCTTGTAGCAAAAAAGCGGTCAAGCTCGTGCTTCACGCGATAGCGGGTAACGTCAATTTTTCTCTGCTAGTGTAAGATCTGTAAATTTAGTCGGGTGTGACAAAAAGGGAATTTTTATAAGGAGAGCTGAATCGGATTTCGGAGAGTTGAGTTAGAGCCACGCTAACATTTTCCAGCCATACACACCCAATTTCGTAACTCTCCCGATATTTCCTTTGAACTAACATGGGAGATTTTAAATCGAAAACTCTCTTCGAAAAACAATTTTGCTGGGGATGTTTGGTGCCACAAATTACAACAAAAATTGGATTAACTGACAAAACACTGTTGCGGTAATACTATCATTTCTTCTATTCCCACAATTTTTACACAAGTTCGGACCTTTTATAACATTTTGTTGGTACAACCTATATATAGGCCAATATATATATATATATATGGGCAAAGTCTTTGACCATAGCGATTGTTTGTGGTAATTACTTTAGAGTTTTCCCACGCAATCTCGTGTTTGGTGTAACATACATGTTCGGCTAAAGCTGATTTTCCCTTGTCTAAAGTTGAAACAGCCTTTTGATGTTCTTTTAACCGTGTACCACACTGGCGTTTAGACTGACCCAAATACTCTTTGTCGCAGTCACCGCATGGTATAGAATATATAGCATGAGTCTTCTGATTTTTTTTCAACAGGATCTTTTGGCTTTGCGAAAATATGGCCTAAAGTCAAATAGGGTTTTGACTGCGACAAAGAGTATTTGGGTCAGTCTAAACGCTAGTTTGGCACACGGCTAAAAGAACACCAAAAGGCTGTTTCAACTTTAGACAAGGGAAAATCAGCTTTAGCCGAACATGTATGTTACACCAAACACGAGATTGCGTGGGAAAACTCTAAAGTAATTACCACAAACAATCGCTATGGTCAAAGACTTTGCCTAGAAGCGTGGCATATAAATATAAGTCATCATGCTTTGAATAGGGATGACGGCGCCTATTTGCCAGAGGAATATATGCATCTCCTTAGCAGGTGACATCATCCCTTATGGGTATTTAAGAAGCCACGATCGCAGTTTTAGATCACCCCTGAAGACACTAGACTGGAGTGTCGAAATGTTGGGTCTTGATTACAATTCGACTGGGCTTTGTAATCATTTATTTAAACCAGAGTAGCGAGCGAAACATTATATATATATATATATATATATATATATATATATATATATATATATATATATATATATATATATATATATATATATATATATAAATTAAGGAAAAAACATTGCGATCGTTAGGGCACAGTATCACTCAATAACAGAATATTTATACTTTTTTCATGAAGACTAATGCATGTAGCAACTGCAAATTTCAACTAATATTCGATCAATATTACATTCCAGCTCGAAATTATTTACCATCAAAAGAAACATTTTCGGCCATGTTTCAACGATGAATTCTTGACTGCTCACTTCTCGATTGCGCCAAGTAATTGTGGTCTTCGTCGTTAACGTTTATTAACGTTTACATCTGCTACTTTGCATTTATTTTTCGTCTACTGCACTACCAGACACAATTTAGCGAAATCTGTTTTCTTGTTGCCTTCAAAATTATTGAAGTCAGAAAACAAAGCGTCCGCGATAAATTTCGTCAGCGACGACATGTTCCCCTCATTCGCCTACAGCAGCAATCTTAGCCAAGCCATATAAGCGGCGCGCTAACTCTCATTCTTGTACTGACCTACGCAATACGTTCCATTGCCTGTGTAACCAGTGTTGCAAGTGCATAGGTATGATCCTGGTGTATTAGTACATGTTGCGTCGGCGTGACACATGTTTGCTTGTGAACATTCGTCGATGTCTGAAAAAGAAAAATAATTTGATTAAATTTTTCCAACACTTAAAACATGATAAGCAACATAAAAAATTATCAGTTTTGAACTTTGGCATACTCTTTTACGAAATTAAAATTTGCAAAAAAATTGGCAAAATAGAAAAAACTTTTTTTCTCCCACGGGCTTCTACTCGCGCAATGGGAATAACGTCGAAAACCGTCAATCACATAATGGAGCACGACTTTGTACTTAGCTATGTTCTTAAGTACAGTAATTAGGAAAGGGCTAAATCATTAGTAATTTAGGAATTGATATTGCCTTGTTGGCAGTAACCTTTGTCCAAATCGGTTACAGAGGGTAAGAAATCGAAAAGATGTTTTTTCCATCTCTAAAAAGAGTTCACGAAATTGAAATACGCAAGACATACTGAAAAACAGCAACGTAGATATAAAATAAAAGCTTAAGTACACGAATGTAAATTGTCGTGCGGAATTACTACACTCGTCCCAGGCTCCCCCTAAAAAGGCGCTTCGCGCCCCTGGCTCGTCGAAAATATGCCCTTGACCTATAGAAGCAGGCTTAACCAAGCCGTAAGGTGCTCGCCAACCGACACTCTTGGTTATAGTTACTTGGATGTGTAATTATTACAACATTATGTGTGTATGTGCGTATGTATATGTATGTATGTAAAGCTTTATATAATGACGCTAGCCTTGTCAAGAGCAACAGTTCATTTCCACAAGGGGTGTCGATACCACAAGTAAAAGTTAGTTACAAAGATATATAGCTTTTTACAAGAGATTTTAAAAAATATTCAATTAAATTGGTGTGATTCGGTCGTATATTAAGAACTATAGTTGTTTCTATCTAACCATGAAATTAATTTACAAAGTGTTTGAAAGAGTAAATTGATTGCGCTTCCTTAGCTGCGGGCGGAAGACTATTCCAAACTGTACTTAAAGCTTTTTCAAGAAACTTGCGTCTCGGCTTAGGAAGGGCCAGATCAGTGTGAGAATTTCTGAGACACAATTAGTTTCTAAAGAATTCCTTCTCATCAATAACTCTTTCAAATTTGGCGCACGAAAGTCGTTGACAATTTTATATAATAATGTAACCTTGCTCATACCTCGTCGCCTGGAATCTAAGTTTTCCCATTTAATTTTCCCACTTCCCGTTTAATATTTTCATTCATTTATTTTATTGTTCTTTACTGACCTACGCAATAGGTTCCATTGCCTGTGTAACCAGTGTTGCAACTGCATAGGTATGATCCTGGTGTATTAGTACATGTTGAGTCAGCGTGACACATGTTTGCTTGTGAACATTCGTCAATGTCTGAAAAAGAAGAATGAATTCAATTTTCCAAAACAATAAGCATGATCAGAAATTAAGAGGACTTTCCTCACTGCCAAACGGAAAATTCCCCAACATATTTCTGGGTTAAGCGTCTCGGAGAAAATTATAAAAAAACCAATGAACTTTACCCCAACATATTCAAATATATCAAGTAGTTAGGAAAGGGCTAAATCATTAGTAATTTAGGAATTGATATTACCATGTGGCAGTAACCTTTGTCCAAATCAGTTACAGAGAGTAAAAAATCGAAAAAATTTTTTTTACATGTGTAAACTATTTTACGAAATTAAAATTCGCAAGATATACTGAAAAACAGCAACATAGATATAAAATAAAAGCTTAAGTGCAGGAGTGTAAATTGTTGAGCGGAAATTACTACACTCATCCTAGGCACCCCCTAAAAAGGCGCTTTGCGCCCAATGGCTCGTCGAATATCTGCCCTTGACCTATGGAAGCAAGCTTAACCAAGACGTAATGTGCTCGCCAACCGAAACTCTTGGTTATAGTTACTTGTAGGCCTATGTGTAGTTATTGCAACATTATGTGTGTATGTGCGTATGAATGTGCGTATGTATGTATGTATGTAAAGCTTTATATCATGACGCTAGCCTTGTCAAGATCAATAGTTCATTTCCACAAGGGGTGTCACTAGCACAAGTAAAAGTTACTTACAAAGATATATAGCTTTTTACAAGAGATTTTAAAAATATTGAAATAAATTGGTGTGATTTGGTGGTATATTAAGATTTACAGTTCTTTCTATAATCTATAACCATGAAATTAATTTACAAAGTTTTTGAACGAGTAAATTGATTGCGCCTCCTTAGCTGTGGCCGGAAGACTATTCCAAAGTTTGCCACCACTGTACTTAAAGCTTTTTCAAGAAACTTGCGTCTCGGTTTAGGAAGGGCCAGATCAGTGTGAGAATTTCTGAGTCACAATTAGTTTCTAAAGAATTCCTTCTCATCAACAACTCTTTCAAATTTGGTGCACCAAAGTCGTTGAGAATTTTGTATATAATGTAATCTTCCTCATACCTCGTGGTCTGCAATCTAAGTTTTCTCATTTATTTTGCCCACTTCCCGTTTAATATTTTCATTCACTTATTTTATTGTTCTTTACTGACCTACGCAATACGTTCCAATGCCTGTGTAACCAGTGTTGCAAGTACATAGGTATGATCCTGGTGTATTAGTACATGTTGCGTCAGCGTGACACATGTTTGCTTGTGAACATTCGTCAATGTCTGAAAAAGAAGAATGAATTCGATTTTCCAAAACAATAAGCATGATCAGAAATTAAGAGGACTTTCCTCACTGCCAAACGGAAAATGCCCCAACATATTTGTGGGTTAAGCGTCTCTGAGAAAATAATGAAGAAAAAAAATAAACTTTTCCCCCAACATATTCAAATATATCAACTAATTAGGAAAGGGCTAAATCATTAGTAATTTAGGAATTGATATTTCCTTGTGGCAGTAACCTTTGCCCAAATCGGTTACAGAGAGTTCGAAATCGAAAAGATGATTTTTACATGTGTAAACTATTTTACGAAATTGAAATTCGCAAGATATACTAAAAAACAGCAACATAGATATAAAATAAAAGCTTAACTACAGGAATTTAAATTGTCGAGCGGAATTACAACACTCGTCCTAGGCTCCCCCAAAAAAGGCGCTACGCGCCCCTGGCTCGTCGAAAATCTGCCCTTGACCTATAGAAGCAGGCTTAACCAAGCCGTAAGGTACCCGCCAACCCACACTCTTGGTTATAGTTACTTGTATATTTAGTTATTACAACATTATGTGTGTACGTATGTATGTATCACGTAAAGCTTTATATTATGATGCTAGCCTTGTCAAGAGCCATAGTTCATTTCCACAAGGGGTGTCACTAGCACAAGTAAAAGTTAGTTACAAAGATTTATAGCTTTTTACAAGACATTTTAAAAAATATTCAATTAAATTGGTGTGATACGGCCGTATATTAAGAACTATAGTTGTTTCTATCTAACCATGAAATTAATTTACAAAGTTTTTGAAAGAGTAAATTGATTGCGCTTCCTTAGCTGCGGGCGGAAGACTATTCCAAAGTTTACCACCAGTGTAGCCTACTTAAAGCTTTTTCAAGAAACTTGCGTCTCGATTTAGGAAGGGCCAGATCAATGTGAGAATTTCGGAGTCACAATTAGTTTCTAAGCAATGCCTTCTCATCAACAACTCTTTCAAATTTGGTGCACCAAAGTCGTTGAGAATTTTGTATATTAATGTAATCTTGCTCATACCTCGTCGACTGCAATCTAAGTTTTCTCATTTATTTTTCCCATTTCCCGTTTAATATTTTCATTCACTTATTTTATTGTTCTTTACTTACCTACGCAATACGTTCCATTGCCTGTGTAACCAGTGTTGCAAGTACATAGGTATGATCCTGGTGTATTAGTACATGTTGCGTCAGCGTGACACATGTTTGCTTGTGAACATTCGTCAATGTCTGAAAAAGAAGAATGAATTCAATTTTCCAAAACAATAAGCATGATCAGAAATTAAGAGGACTTTCCTCACTGCCAAACGGAAAATGCCCCAACATATTTGTGGGTTAAGCGTCTCTGAGAAAATAATGAAGAAAAAAAACAATGAACTTTACCCCACAATATCCAAATATATCAAGTAATTAGGAAAGGGCTCTAAATCATTAGTAATTTAGAAATTGATATTACCTTGTGGCAGTAACCTTTGTCCAAATCAGTTACAGAGAGTAAGAAATCGAAAAATTTTTTTTACATGTGTAAACTATTTTACGAAATTGAAATTCGCAAGATATACTGAAAAACAGCAACATGGATATGAAATAAAAGCTTAAGTGCAGGAGTGTAAATTGTCGATCGGAAATTACTACACTCATCCTAGGCTTCCACTAAAAAGGCGCTTCGCCCCCCTGGCTCGTCGAATATCTGCCCTTGACCTATGGAAGCAAGCTTAACCAAGACGTAATGTGCTCGCCAACCGAAACTCTTGGTTATTGTTACTTGTAGGCCTATGTGTAGATATTGCAACATTATGCGTGTATGTGCGTATGAATGTGCGTATGTATGTATATATGTATGTATGTATGTAAAGCTTTATATAATGACGCTAGCCTTGTCAAGAGCAATAGTTCATTTCCACAAGGGGTGTCACTAGCACAAGCAAAAGTTAGTTACAAAGATATATAGCTTTTTACGAGAGATTTTAAAAATATTGAAATAAATTGGTGTGACTTGGTGGTATATTAAGATTTATAGTTGTTTCTATCTAACCATGGAATTAATTTACAAAGTTTTTGAAAGAGTAAATTGATTGCGCCTCCTTAGCTGTGGGCGGAAGACTATTCCAAAGTTTACCACCACTGTACTTAAAGCTTTTTCAAGAAACTTGCGTCTCGGTGTAGGAAGCGCCAGATCAGTGTGAGAATTTCTGAGTCACAATTAGTTTCTAAAGAATTCCTTCTCATCAACAACTCTTTCAAACTTGGTGCACCAAAGTCGTTGAGAATTTTGTATATTAATGTAATCTTCCTCATACCTCGTCGTCTGCAATCTAAGTTTTCTCATTTATTTTGCCCATTTCCCGTTTAATATTTTCATTCA